TACAGAACACCATGGACTTTGTGGATAAGGTGAGGGATGTCATCATGGAGACTGATGAAACAATGGTCTCTTTTGATGTCACATCACTCTTTACGTGCATTCCTGTTGATGATGCAGTAGAGGTGGTCAGTTTAAAATTAAAATCAGACACCACTCTGAGCAGCAGGACCATGCTTTCCACAGAACAACTGTGTCAACTCTTGAAACTGTGCCTGCAGTCAACCTACTTCACATATGGGGAGCAATATTATAGGCAGAAACATGGGTGTGCTATGGGGTCTCCAGTTTCTCCTATTGTTGCCAACCTGTACATGGAGGAGGTAGAAAAGAGAGCCTTGACGTCCTTTTCAGGGACACCACCAAGTCATTGGTTCAGGTATGTTGATGACACCTGGGTTAAAATTAAATCTCAGGAAGTCCAACATTTTACTGACCACATCAACTCTGTGGATAAATACATCAAGTTCACACGAGAAGATGAAAAAAATGGCAGGTTGTCTTTCTTGGACTGTGAGGTCTCAGTCTCTGATAGAGGACATTTGCAAACTGAGGTGTACCGCAAACCCACCCACACAGACCAGTATTTGCAGTTTGACTCCCATCACCCTTTGGAGCACAAGTTAGGAGTCATCAGGACTCTGTACCACAGAGCAGACAGCGTCCCCACTAGCTCAGGAGCCAGGCACAAGGAGAAATCCCACACAAGACAGGCTCTAGAGCAATGTGGATATCCTAACTGGGCCTTCCTGAAAGCAGAGAAGAAACCCAAACAGGACTCCAGTCAGCCATCAGGTGAAAAGGAGGAACCCAGACCCAGACCAGTGGTCATTCCGTATGTTGAGGGAGTATCAGAGAAACTGAGACGTTTATTTTCTAAACATAACGTCCCAGTGGCTTTTAAACCCCAAAATACATTAAAGACTGACAACAAAGTCCATGCTCAATAATCCAAGTATACAATCCAAAATTTTTCAGTCAGGTCATCTGGACAGTTTCTTTTTTTGTGCTGAAACGTTTCGCCTTCGATCCGGAAAGCTTCATCAGTCAAGGAAACACACAACACAAAACTGATTCTTCCCCCAACAGCTTACTCCAAAGTGGAAGAAACCAGTTTGGTTAGTGCTAGATGGTCCATTTGGTACGCCCCCTCCTCCATTGCCAGCCCTCTTCCTTGTTGACAGTCATGTCAAACTGGTTGAAAACAACAAAGCTGTCCAGATGACATGACTGAAAAATGTTGGACATTAAAGACTGGTTCATCCCAAAGATCCAGTCCCCCGGCACAGAGTAATATTGTGTATGCTGTTCAGTGTCAGGAGGGTGATCAGTCTTACATCAGGGAAACTAAACAGCCACTGGCCAAAAGGATGGACCAGCACAGAAGATCAACATCATCAGGCCAGGACTCTGCGGTCTACACTCATCTCCAGGTCAGAGGTCACTCTTTCAGGGATGAAGATGTTCACATCCTGGACAGAGAGGAACGATGGTTTGAGAGAGGAGTAAAGGAGGCCATCTTTGTGAAAAGAAACCGTCCATCATTAAACAGGGGTGGAGCCTCCTGGTTCAACTGTCCCCCTCTTACAATGCTGTGATTGCTAGTATCACTCAGCCCTCTGTGAACAGTAAACAGCCATCAGGTGCTAATGATCCATTGTTAGGCTGATGGTCCTTCTTGAGCATGTGATCAGCTGGTTTTGGTTGTCAGCAGCAAACTGGTTGATCCACTCTGAGAAGGTGCTATTTAAGAGACTGAGCTGAAAACAGCACCTCAGACTGAGGAAGTCTTTTGGATGAACGACGAAACGTTTCTACATTTTTGTTTTGCTTTGGTTTTTTTTGAATGTCCAGAGGACCAGAATTTACTTTTTTAGATTTTTATACCTGGATTATTGAGCATGCATCAGGATATCAGAGACTCTACTTCCTCAGACGGCTGAGGCGAGCTGGTCTGGAAGCTCAGCCCTCACCTCCTTCTACAGGTGTGCAGTGGAGAGCATCCTGTGCTCCAGCATCAACGTGTGGCATGGAGGCTGCACAGCTGCAGAAAGAAAAGCTTTGCAGAGAGTGGTGAAGGCTGCACAGAAGATGTTGGAGTCAGTCTCCCCACCATCACAGACATCTACACCTCCAGATGCAGGAAGAGGGCCACCTGCATCATGAAGGACCCCACTCACCCAGCACACACACTTTTTGCCCCGCTCCCCTCAGGAAGGAGGTTGAGGAGCATTAAGTGTAGAACCACTAGACTGAGGAACAGCTTCTACCCTGTGGCTGTTAGACTCATGAATCTCTAATCAGGATTATCACTGTGAAAAAAAATCACTCTACTGTCACTTGATTATTGATATGTGCTACTGAATATTCATGCTGCTGATTTATTTCATGCTGCTGTATGTATTCGTACTCATCTGCTCACAAAGACTCATGTTCCTGCTGCTGTTGTTCGATGTATTGTTTTTGCATATTCTTAGTTTAGTGTATTTCTTAGTTCATATCTTAGATCTTATTACTGTTTTTCTTTTACAATTTATACTTTTGTTGGATGTAACTGGGATCCTGAGTACATAATTTCGTTCCACCACATGTACCACATGAGGTGTGAATGACAATTAAAAAAACCTTGACTGTGACATGACCATTTAGACTGAGGTTGCTTTGAAAATGATCAAATATGTGTTAAGTTTAGTACCACATAAAAAAAAAGACCTGGGTCAGATTATAGTAGAAAAATCTGGATTTGCCACATTCAGACTGTCATAAGATTATCAGATATGAGTCACATATGGGTTTAAAAAATAATTGGGTCACATTTGCCTCCAGTGTAAAAATAGTCTTAGATGTCAGCTGTGGTGTGCTTAAATTTTAAGATTCAGGTCTTTGAATCCTAGTCTTTGGTCCTTATTTCTTTGCTAACCATTTCCTGTGATCTCCATTTTACTTCACTCATTACCACATTTCGAAATACCTCCATAAAATAAGTGTCCACTGTCCCCTTCTCACCTGTACAACAAAGTCCCGACCTCGAAAGTCGGCGATGGTGCGTGGCAGCCGTGTGCGACCCCAGACGAACCTCAGGAACAGTGACCTCTCTGTATTGGAGAAGGACTCCATCACTTCCCAGAACCACTGGATGAGTGACGCCGTCGGCTCTACTCCTTTATAGGTGGCCACTGACTTCAGCAGGTGGAGCGGGATATCTGGACTTCCACACACCTAAAACGATGAAGGTAAATAAGAATCTGAAGGTAAAAAAACAGAAAATGGAGGCACAACAGAACCCTGTTCCTCCTCACCATCGTTTCTAACTCGTAACCAGTGAAAAGTGACAGCAGGGGAACGGGAACTACTCGAGCCATCCCTTCACGCACAGCAGACACCTGCTCATCAAATTCATGGAGTCTGCAGCAGCAGCAAAGAAACAACATGAGTCATGTAAAACAACCATATGGCTGCAGATGGAACTGTGTGGCATCACAATGTTTTTTCACCTGTAATTAATGGCCAGGCGGACATATTCTGCTCGGTTTTCCAGGGTAATGTGGGAGTATTTGGAGCTGAGCTGGATGTCCTGGCCACTGGCATTGGGCACAGTGAAAGGCAGGGTCATGCCCTCAAACTCTTCAGATGTAGCTTCGTTGTCCCGGATGTACATCAAGCCAGGAATAAAATCCTTATCAACCTGTGAAGGAGAGAACATCAATTCACTCACATTTATGAGCCATTTACTGTATTTACCCATTATGCTCATGCATGCTGTGCGAGAGCTTGAGCACAAGTCTCGGGAACTCCACAGCTATCTGCTCTGTCTTGTGCTACAATTATATTCCATCTAACCTTTCTAGTATCTCAGAGGCAAAACCATCGAACAAAAGCAGCATTCAGAGGGAAAGGAATTTTCCCAAAACCACTATTCTCAGAACGATGGTTCAGGAGCGTATGACCAGAGTGGACTCACGCCACCTTCTACACACAAGCCAGAAGTGTGATACACTTGAACAAAACTGGGTAAGTTTCCACGAGTAATTGGAGAACTTTGTACAAGTAAAAAACTAAATGGACAGGTTTAGATTTTAATCTGCAGTGCAATGTTTAGGAATGTGCTGAAGTTTGAATTTTAGTGCAGATCATGTGAGCTGCAAGTGTTAATACAAAATCTGAAATGAAAAGAGACAATTCTTGTACAACTTGAAAACATAAGTATATTTCTCCATACTGAGGTCAATCAAAGAGCTATCTACAACAAGAAAAATAATTATTGTTCATAACCTTTTTATAGAACCCTACCATTTTTACAGCAACATTTCTACATTTAGTGACTCCTTACTGGTGCATTTCCCACAAACACTGGGAACTGATCAGTGCATTGAGGGGCAGAGCTGTGCACACACCTCACTGAGGTCAGCAATGGTCAGGTTCATGCCTGCCAGCTGCTTCCATACAGGCTCTGCCAGATTTAGGCTGAGGGGGCTTCCAGTTCGGATTGCAATTCCCAGGAGGACTCCTGCAGACACAGTAGAACAAAACGTGATGCTCAGATCAAACCATAATAATCATCTGAGATACTTGAAAAAGTGTTTATCAAAAACAAGGCATGCACAATGGTTCAGGTCAGGTGTTTCATCAGCAGACATGCCAACAATTTTTGTTTATTAAAAGCTTACTTTTCGTTTTAGGATTAATGTTGCAAACCAGACTGGGAGATAAACTGGATTTTACCTAAGAAGCGAAACATGCTCATGTGAAGAGAGGACTTGGCAGCAGGGTTAAGCAGGAAACAATCCCTGTTGGCCCCCGACTCATCACGGCCATTGGGAGTGACTATGAGCAGTGGTGTCAGAGAGTTTTGCAGCTCTTCGCACATTTCAGCGATGGACTCACTGTAGCCTCCACCACAGTCGTCTACAGACTCACCTGATAAAAAACAAGTGTGTCAAACCTGCAAGCTGAGACACAAAAATGATTCTAAGGGAATGGACTGTACTTATATAGCACCTTTCTACCTTATCAAGATACTCAAAGCACTTTACACTACAATCTGTGTCCTCATTTACCCATCCATACAGCACTCTACTATATTTTTACAAATAATAATCAGAGCTTTATCACATTCATACACCAATGGGACACACATCAGAGGCAATGAGGGGTTCAGTGTCTTGCCCAGGGACACTTCGGCATGTGACTGCTGGTGGAATCCAATTCCCCACTCTTGCACTGGAGGACAACTGCTCTAACCACTCAGCCACAGTCGCCCATTTATAAGGGAAATAATAAATTTGTCAGAGACATTTGAGGAAAGACCTGATGTCACATAGCGGACATGAACACATACCTACAAACTTAACCTTCCATACACGATGAGGAAGCAGCAGGTTGTCTGGGCTGAATGAACTCATTTTGGCACACATCTGACCAAACACAGACTTTGTTCCGTCAGGACCTGCAAGACCTCCTTTGCTACGGGAACGCTTTACCTGCAGAGTGAAAAAGGCAACAAGAACAACAACAACAAAGAAAAAAGGAAAATAAATGGTTTGATTTGTTTCTGTTCTGACTGGTTGATCCACTACGAGAAGGTGCTATTTATAAGACTGAGCTGAATACAGCATCTCAGACTGAAGAAGTCTTTCAGATGAAAGGTTTCTACAATTTTTTTGTTTTGTTTCTTTTGAATGTTCAGAGCACCAGATTTAACTTTTTTTTTAATTTTTCTACCTGGATTATTGAGCATGCATCAAGATAGTTCTGTTCTGAGTTTAGCAACTCCCAGCCAAATTCAAAAAACGTTCAATACAAGAACAACTGGACTTTATTTGTAACAGAAGACGTTTCGCTCCTCATCCGAGGAGCTTTCTCAATTCAATGAGCAGAGAGTGAGGGGTTCAGTTTATAAGACTGAGTGAGATAAGACACGCATACAGGTCCTTCTCAAAAAAATAGCATATTGTGATAAAGGTCATTATTTTCCATAATGTAATGATAACAATGAAACTTTCATATATTTCAGATTCATTGCACACCAACTGAAATATTTCAGGTCTTTAATTGTTTTAATACTGATGATTATGGCATACAGCTCATGAAAACCCAAAATGCCTGTCCCAAAAAAATAGCATGTCATGAAAAGGTTCTCTAAACAAGCTATTAACCTAACCATCTGAATCAACGACGTAACTTGAAACACCTGCAAAAGATTCCTGAGGCTTTTAAAAACTCCCAGCCTTGTTCATTACTCAAAACCACAATCATGGGTAAGACTGCCGACCAGACTGCTGTCCAGAAGGCCATCATTGACACCCTCAAGCAAGAGGGTAAGACACAGAAAGAAATTGCTGAACTAATAGTCTGTTCCCAGAGTGCTGTATCAAGGCACCTCAGTGGGAAGTCTGTGGGAAGGGAAAAGTGTGGCAGAAAACGCTGCACAACGAGAAGAGGTGACCGGACCCTGAGGAGGATTGTGGAGAAGGGACGATTCCAGACCTTGGGGGACCTGCGGAAGCAGTGGACTGAGTCTGGAGTAGAAACATCCAGAGCCACCGTGCACAGGCGTGTGCAGGAAATGGGCTACAGGTGCCACATTCCCCAGGTCAAGCCACTTTTGAACAAGAGACTGCGTCAGAAGCATCTCACCTGGGACTGCTGCTGAGTGGTCCAAAGTTATGTTCTCTGATTACAGTAAATTTTGCATTTCCTTTGGAAATCAAGGTCCCAGAGTCTGGAGGAAGAGAGGAGACACAGAATTCACATTGCTTGAGGTCCAGTGTCAAGTTTCCACAGTCACTGGGGTGTCATGTCAGCTGCTGGTGTTTGTCCACTGTGTTTTATCAAGGGCAGGGTCAATGCAGCAGCTATCAGGAGATTTTGGAGCACTTCATGCTTCCATCTGCTGAAAAGCTTTATGGAGATGAAGATTTCATTTTTCAGCACGACCTGGCACCTGCTCACAGTGCCAAAACCACTGGTAAATGGTTTACTGACCATGGTATTACTGTGCTCAATTGGCCTGCCAACTCTCCTGACCTGAACCCCATAGAGAACCTGTGGGATATTGTGAAGAGAAAGTTGAGAGACGCAAGACCCAACACTCTGGATGAGCTTAAGGCCGCTATCGAAGCATCCTGGGCCTCCATAACACCTCAGCAGTGCCACAGGCTGATTGCCTCCATGCCACGCTGCATTGAAGCAGTCATTCATGCAAAAGGATTCCCGACCAAGTATTGAGTGCATAACTGAACAGGATTATTTGAAGGTTGGCGTTTTTTGTATTAAAAACACTTGTCTTTCATTGGTGGGATGAAATATGCTAATTTTTTGAGACAGGCACTTTGGGTTTTCATGAGCTGTATGCCATAATCATCAGTATTAAAACAATTAAAGACCTGAAATATTTCAGTTGGTGTGCAATGAATCTGAAATATATGAAAGTTTCATTTTTATCATTACATTATGGAAAATAATGACCTTTATCACAATATGCTAATTTTTTGAGAAGGACCTGTATATATGTAGACAATTCACACTTCAACACCTTAACAGTAGGGGTTTCTTAAGGTCTTTGTTACTCTAATTCACAGACGAGGCCCCTCTGTTCCCATCAGGTGTGAAAACTGTCTGTGAATCAGTCTTAAAGTTGCATTATATGTTTTTGAAAGTGGAAATCTGAGGCCTCCTCCTCTGTTCAGAGACGGCTTTTCTCTTTTTACATAAATTGCTTCCTTCACCCCCCTCTCAAACCATCTGTGTTCTCGGTCCAAAATGTGCACATTTTGGTCCTCAAAGAGTGTCCCTTATCTGTGAGGTGGAGGTGAACAGCTGAATCTTGTCCAGAGGATGTGGCTCTCCTGTGTTGAGTCATGCGTCTGTGAAGAGGCTGTTTAGTTTCTCCAATGTAGAGGTCTGGACAGTCCTCGTTGCACTGGACCACATACACTACACCACTCTGTTTGTGTATGGGTGTTCTGTCCTTAGGGTGGACCAGCCTCTGTCTGAGAGTCCTGCTGGGTTTGAAATGTACTGGGATGTTGTGCTTTTTGAAAATCCTTCTGAATTTCTCTGATACTCCAGCAACATAAGGGATGACAATGTTTTTCCGTCTGTTGTTCTCCTTTTTCTGTTTATTAGTGTGTTTTGTAAATTTCCTCGCTGACTTGACAAAAGCCCAGTTAGGATATCCACGTTCGGAGAGCCTCTTGGATGTGCCTCTGTTCCTTTTCCTTCCCTTCTGTCTTCGTGGGAACCTTCTTGTATTGAACGTTTTTTAAATTTATCATGTCCTGGATGACTGAGAATCTTCACCAGCATATTCCTGCCAAATCCAAAGTAGTCGTTCGAATGAACAGCTGGATCTGACAGCTTCTTCCTCCAGACAGAACAGACCCAAAACCCTCTGCGGAGTCTGAACGTTAGAACAGTACTCCCTTCAGACAGGAAGGAGTGCAAGATCACACACCATGAAAAAAAAAACTTATAAAAGGCATAGCTTAAGAGCCAGTCTGGAACTTAGCATTTCAGTGGGTAAGGGTAGAGAAAGCAGCAGGAATGAAATGGATGAGGAGAAAATCACTGACTGTGAGTAAGAAGAGGCTATCAGTGAAGACTGTACCTGTATTCTGTTCAGCTCCACAACTGGTCCATGCTGTCTGTCTCTTACCATTGTAGCTTGAACCACCTTCCTAAAAGCTGCTTCCTGTTTGCAAAGAAAACATAAATCGTGAAAAAGAAAACACCCTTGGCCGTACACTTAACTTCCATTTACTTATACTGATTTAAATATGTTTTCCCCATTCTACTACCTTGCCCTGTGAGATAAGGATGCCCCTGAGCGTGTCGAAGCCAACTGATGGGCCGTGGCCTGCCTGATCCAGCCGACCCTCCAGGTCAAACATGGGGATGCATGGGCAGAAAAGCTCAGAGAAATGATGCAGCAGCAGCAACCTATTCCTCAGAGCCATGATGGGGATCTCCTGCAAATGGTTGTATTCCATAGGAACCTTAAAAAAAAATCACAAAATCAGAAAGCTTGAGAGTGAGCAGAAACAGAAATTTGAAAGTCACTTTGCAGCTGTGAAATCTTATGGCCATCTACTGGAAGTAAGGGAAGAAACTAATTTTTCCAGCTGTGACATTACCTGCGCAGGCAGTTTCCCAGCATTAGTGGGCTTGCTGGTGGACCAGGAGAGAGTGTGAGCAGAGCCACAGGCCACTCGGTTGATTTTTTTGCCCTGCAGCGCAGCCACTAGCCGCGGCCTCTGGATGGCATTAGTGGTCCCATCTCCCAGCTGGCCTTCATCATTGTCACCCCAAGTGTACACTTCTCCTGATTTTTAAACATCAATAATAAAAGTTATTTTGTGAAGTTGCAACTCAATGACACATCAACTCTTACAAAAACCATAGTTATGCGTAAAAAGATTCTTCCTACCATCTTCTGTGCAGCAAACACAGTGCAGAGACCCTGTGGCAATGGCGATTACTTTTTTTCCTTGTAGACCCTGAACCTGCCTGGGTCGTCGCACATGGTCATCAGAGCCATGACCCAGTCGATGGTAATCTCCTTTGCCCCTGTAAATGATAAAACACACACTCAGCTAATCCCCTCTTCACTGCAGAATGTGACGCATCCTCACTCTGCAGTAAGGTACACACCATGTGTAGACTGCCCCAGATTTAGTCAGCGCCACAGAGAACTGAGAGCCACACTCCACTTTCACCACTCCAAGGCCAGTGAGAGAGTCAATCTAAGGACATCAAATCATTTTAGAGTTAACCACAAAAACAAATATTTTAATGCTGTTTACTTCAAAGCATGTTCTTCTATGATGCTGTTTTGTGGAATAATGCTATACATTTGTAAAGTAAAACCTAACAATTTATTTACTTATTTGATCATGTATTTTTAAAATAAATACCTCCTGTTTCTCCTGTTAAAACAGGCGCGAGAAACTCTAGAATGTTCACGTTTGCATTCAGTTACAAAACCATACAAATAATTGTAGCTTTAAAAATATTTATTTTGTGCTAAAATGTGCCAAAAGAGGAGAAACCATTTCAATCAATCAATCAATCAATCAATCAATCAATCAATCAATCACCTTTATTTTACCAGGTAGAGCCCGTTGAGATCGAGATCTCTTTCACAAGGGTGACCTGGTCAAGTGGTTATCAGCGCGGCGAAACTGTTCAGTGATTTGTAGACATACATCAGTATTCTGAACTGGATTCGAAAGTGAACCGGTAACCAGTGCAGTGAAGCCAAAACTGGTGTAATGTGCTCTCTTGCCTGTACTGGTTAAAAATCGGGCTGCTGCATTCTGGACCAGTTGTAGTCGTGCAATGGAGGTTTGACTGATACCAAACAGGAGTGAATTGCAGTAATCAAGCCTAGATGTAATGAATGCATGTATTACTGTCTCCAGGTTCTTTTTGGACAGTATGGGCTTCAGTTTAGACAGCCGCCTCAGTTGGAAGAAGCATGATTTAACAATCATGTTTACATGATTGTTAAGTTTCAGGGAAGGGTCCATTATCACGCCCAGATTAGTGACTCTTTGTTTTTCTGACAGGGTTAGAGTGGAGAGGTCGATGCAGTGGTTTGTGCTCGTGTCGTTGGGAGGGAACAACATGACTTCAGACTTCTTTTCATTGAAACTTAAGAAGTTTAAAGCCATCCAGTCCCTGATGTCAGCCAGGCAGTCGAGCAGTGGTTGAATAGGGCATGTACCATTGTGTCTTAGGGGGAAGTAAATTTGACAGTCATCGGCATAGAAGTGGAAGGGCATGTTGTGTTTCCGGAAAATAGCACCAAGCGGCAGCAGGTATAAAGAGAATAGGAGGGGACCCAGAATGGACCCCTGCGGAACCCCCCATTTAAGCTCTGCCTCTGCGGAACTAAAATCCTTGATGGAGGATCCTTGAAGAGGAAGCGCTGCTCCCGGCTTAAGAGGAGAGGATGCCGGGCGGGGGTTATGGTCAGGCTACGAGCTAACGCTAAAGCCGGTAAACTCCCCATGCCGTCTCTCTTTCTGTCGAATGTCCGCTCGTTGGACAACAAGATGGATTTACTTCGTCTGAGAGCGGGCGCCTCAGAAGAGATGAAGAAGTGTGCAGTGCTTTGCCTCACAGAAACGTGGATTACAAGTGAAACGCCGGACACAGTCTTCCAGCTGGATGACAGACTTTTTTTTCGAGCGGACCGCTGCAGCGAGCTAACGGGGAAATCACGGGGGGGCGGAGTGTGCATTTACGTGAGTAAGAGTTGGTCCACGAACTGTACTGTTGTAAATAGCTCATGCTCGAAGGCTTTGGAGCAAATAACAGTGAAATGTCGGCCACATTATCTACCCCGAGAGTTCACAGTGACTTTTATCACAGTTGTTTACATTCCTCCGGACGCTAATGCTAATGAATCACTGCAGGAGCTTCATGATATCATCAGCTCGCTGCAGAACAAACACCCCGAGGCTCTTTACGTGGTAGCCGGAGACTTTAACCACGTGAATCTAAAGGACTGTCTCCCAAGCTTTAATCAGCATGTGACGATTCCAACACGTGGAGACCGCACGCTGGACCGTGTTTACACTGTAGTGGACTAGGCCCATGTCAAAAACTAAGTCTAAGGTCAAAAATCTTGACCTTAAGAACCTTGTGGGACAGGAACTGTCATTTCATTCATTTGAACTCAGAAATACAGGTTCACCCATCCTGAGACTTTCTTTCTTGAAGATTCAAGTGAAAAGAACACTCTCTTTTTATTATCATTACTATTTTACAAATATTGATAATCAAAGTGTCTTAGTTCAAATCATTTTAGATGTTGCAGTGCACTAATCAATTTTATTAACTGAGTAATGATTTTTATTCTCATGTCAAAGCTGTTACAGAATAATTATGCATTTTCTGATTTCTGCCTTTGAGTGAGCAAGTGTGCGTTTCCAAGGTTGGAGTCAAACGAAAAACAAGTTGTTGAACGAACTGTCATGTTTTTAGAATCCTCTCAGACGTAAATAGAGAAGTTTTGGCACCTTTTCTGAAACGCGCCAAAACAAAACTCTCTCTGTCTGTGAGAACATTTCTGATCTGTTTCATAACAATTCTCGCTGTCTCTAACCTCTTACGTCACAAAACACACCCCGTCTGGTCGTTTCTGACCAATGAACAAATCCCAAAAGTGAACCGGGAAACAGCTCTTTAAAATGTCAGTACTTCCTGGTCTACTCAGTCTTGGTTCTGTTGAAGTTCTGATGGAGTGCTGTTGGAGTTCTGCTGGATACACAGTCCAACCAGTTCTGTGAGAGACGGGATGATCCTGACAACAGAGCTCTTCCGAGTTCCATGGGATTATAACATTTTCCACTGAGGTGAATATGTGTCGAACAGAGCCTCGCCATTACTTCGGACGAGTAACAGCATCCTACTGAGACGCTGAAAGGGTGCGTTAAACGGAATCTCACCTGAGACATCTCCAGGTAAAGGAGCCAATTTCATCACCTAAGTGTACTGTAAGGAAAAGCTGAAGAAAGCCGGAGAGTGTCGATTCTGGTGAACACATTTCACCCCTCACACACCATCTTACTCCCTCTAAACTTCTTTCCATCTTTAAACTTTTCTATCAAGTAGAAATTCTTCCAGATATTTTAGAAATGTCTGTGTAAAATGCTCACCCACATTCATGTGGGTAAAAGATCATAATTGTACAGTTTTCATAAATGTCTGTGGTGAAGCAACGGAAAAATCATGGCCGTATGATTTTTCCTGATTGATTGCTTATGTTGTTATTTTCATAATTTGCCAAATTAATGTAAATGTTTGATGTTAAATTTTGATTCTGTAAATAAATGACCGCATTCATTTTGATGGGTCAAATATAAATGACGTCTCACGTTTGCATTTCCTTAAATTCAATGCACGTTTTATTCAGTCCAGAAAAATGAGGAATCCGTGTTAAATGATGAATATATCTGAGCATCTGTTCATCTACATAATTGGTGGCCCGTTTACGTGCTCATAAATGGACTGTAACCGTGTAAACATTGATTTTACGTGTTGGCATGAAAAGTTTTATCAGCTGCGCGCTTTGGAGCTTGGCTGTGCATGTTTACGCAGCGTACGCCTGTTACGTGTGACTAAGAGCTGATGAGCTGTGAGAAACGCTGCGTTCTGTTTAAACTGAGGTCCAAACGGACGGGAGGTTCGGTTCTGTGGACCGGCTCGGTTCTGGAAAATTCGAACGAGTTGTTTAAATAGCTAGAAAGACGTTTAGTCACGGAGCGCCGTCTCCGTGCAGCTCAGGGAGTTGATTCGTTACAATTTTTAACAGAGAAAGTGCATTTTGATGGTTTAAAAGACGATAAGTGATGAAAAAGTTTCAGGCTAAATTAACATGGCTGCTAACGCTTCGTGGTTGGTTGATTTACTGCTGTGGAGCGCTCTGATTTGCTGAGGAGGGTGAATGCGTGCCTACGTGACTTCCTCTCAACCCCGCGCTGCTTTTCATTGGTGATTTCAGTCACGTGACCCGGAAGTGAAAATTCGTTTTCATAGGGAAATAAAATCAGCTTTTTAAAGCTGAAAAGCGCTGCAAAGCTGTGTTCTGACACGGTGTTTAAGTCTTCGAGGTCTAATCGCTAAAACTACGCCACGTTTGTGTAAAAAATTTGTTCAGAAACGTTGATTTTAACCGGGTTTAGCCGAAGCTAACTTTGAGCTAAGCGGCTAACAACAGGATGTCAACCGAACGCCACAGGAAGTTGTAGCTCCCCTAGTGGACAACACGAACAGTGTCGGAGTTAAAATTGTTGAGGTTGTACTGACATCTTGTGGAGAAGACGTGGGATCACAGGTTTCACTTCGTTTTTAGGGTTAAATAGTGAAATTAAACGTTTTTATTCTTTTAAAGGCATTTTTGAGTTATTGACCGTTCCTCAAAGTTGAATAGACTCTGTTATCTTGCATTTTAAAAGTTATGAAGGTATTTATGCAGAGAGCATTTACCCAACAAAATTTTTAGTCACTGATAAATCCTTGAGAAACAGGTACAGAATAAAAATTTAGAAACTTTTAAATAAGATACAGTTACAGATATTCACAAAGTTGGAAAAAGTTTACTCATTTGCTAGAAGGTAACGCACGTTTAATTGATAAATCACTAAATAAGAGTAAACTTATCAGGAAAAAGAGATTTTTCTGATTTTCTTTTACCACCTAAACATTTACATCTCCTATTTAATTTCTAAATAGCAGATAATGGCGGACGAAGATGAAAACACTGACCCCTTACAATCCGGAGATGCTGTCCAGACAGCGTTACACATTTTAACAAATTCAATTGTTGGTAAACAATTAGAGAAATTGCTAGACCTTGATGACGATCAAAGATATGAGGAGCTGCAGACGTTGTCAAAAGCAGCTAAAGTGAAGGAGGACACGAAATCCAGCCGTGGACGGTTGGCAAAAATGGCTCTGCTTCTGAAGGCGGAACTGGACCGTATGGTTGAACGAAATACCTTGCTGTTCAACGGATATGAGTCTGAAAAGGAGAGGTGTGATGAATTGTTGAATGCATCTGAGTTGCTGAAACAACAAATTCAGACTGATAGGGACCTCTCAAAGACTGGGCTGTCAGAACAGGCTCAATCATATGAGGAGAGGTGTGACAAATTGTTAAATGAATCTGAGTTGCTGAAACAACAAATTCAGACTGATAGGGACCTCTCAAAGACTGAGCTGTCAGAACAGGCTC